CGCTATTAGGATGGGTAATTCAGGGAACCGTGCCGCGGTTAACGTGTAGGGAAGACGGCGAGACCGTATTACACGTAGAGAGCGCTAGCGGACGGTCAGATAGGGACATCCGAACGTTTGCCAGTCGGGACGAGGAGCTAACGGAACTCCTCAAACGGCAGTACGAAATAGACTCTATAGGTATCTCGCTGAAGAGTAGGCCGCGACGGGATGAGGAGCGCGCTGTCGACATATTCCAGCGCACCGTCAAGAAGGTCGGCGAGCAATACCAAGTTGGACTGCCATGGAAGGACGACAACGTGCGGATGCCACCCAGCTACGAGATGGCAGCGCGAAGATGGGACGACGAACTACCCGAGGAGGCAGCAGAGGAATTCCAGCGATGGCTGCGAGTCGTCGAGGAGGTATCACGACTACGACTGCCAAGGTGCTATGCTCCTACGGGGGGAGTTGTAGAGCGTCAACTTCACGTCTTCAATGATGCGAGCGAACGTGCGTACGCATCCGCGGCGTATTGGCGTATACGATATCGCGACGGAACGATTAGGGTGCGATTAGTGGCGGCTAAGGCGAAAGTCGCTCCAATTAAAGCGCAAAGTATACCGCGATTAGAGTTGCAGGCGAACTTAATAGGCGCGCGACTCGCGGAATCCGTGCAGAACGAACACAGAGTGGTAGCGGATAGGGTCGTATATTGGACGGACTCTACTACGGCGCTCCACTGGATACAAAACGATACGGCGCGTTACACTCCATACGTTGCTCACCGGTTAGGGGAGATAGCTGAGAAGACATCACCCGAGCAATGGAGGTGGATACCGACTGCGGAAAACGTAGCGGATCAGGCAACGCGGATGAATTTCACAACCAAGGAAGAGAGCGACAAGTGGTTTACAGGACCACCCTTCCTCTACGAGCATGAAGACAGATGGCCTCACCGACAGGAGGAGAAGGCGGGGGATGATGAAGAGTTGGAGGAAATCGTGGCGCATCAGAGCGACACCCAGGAAGCTCCACACCTGCCAGACATAGAGAGATTCTCTGCCTACGAGAAGTTAATCAGGGCCACAGCAAGAGTACTACAATTCCTCGATGCGGCACGAGGAAGAGCACGAGGACTGACCTTACAGCACATCCAGAGAGCAGAACGGATGTGGATACAACACAGCCAGCAGGAAAGCTTCGCTGAAGACATCAGCCGCCTTCAGCGGGGAAAGAATTTGACCACCGGCAGCGCACTAAGGAAGCTCGACCCCATATTGGAGGATGGAGTGCTACGAGCCAGGGGAAGGATCGACGCAGCCGACGTGGACGGTCAAATGAAGAGACCCATTATCCTGAATGGACGTCACCAATTTGTGAAGCTGCTTGTGGAGAAGGCGCATCAGGAAGCAAGCCACGCCAATAGGGAGAGGGTGGTGAACGACCTGCGCACTAGGTATCATATCCTCCGATTACGACCTACAGTACGGGAAGCGGAGCGGAGATGCCTACGATGCAGAATACGGAAGGCGACACCACAACCTGCGGTTACAGGAGACCTACCACCTGAACGGTTAGGGGCGTTTGCGCGACCATTTACGAACACCGGGATTGATTATTTCGGGCCTCTGACGGTTACGATAGGACGACGGCACGAAAAACGGTGGGTGGCACTGTTCACGTGCCTAACGACGCGCGCAGTACATCTAGAGATAGTCTATTCTCTGACCGCGGACTCGGCGATATCGGCATTGCGGCGCATGGCGGCTAGGCGTGGGTGGCCACGGGTTATTTATTCGGATAATGGGACTAATTTTCACGGGGCAAACACAGAATTACGACGGGCAATGGAAGAGTGGGCGCCACAGTTGAAGGATTACGCGCTGACTCGGCGCGTCGATTGGAAGTTCATCGCACCGGGCGCGCCTAACCAGGGAGGCGCATGGGAGCGTCTCGTGCGCTCAGTGAAGACCGCGCTCGAAGCCACTCTCCATCAGAAGAGCCCACGAGAAGAAACGCTGGCAACGCTTCTGACTGAAGCCGAAATTACTGTAAATTCTCGACCGTTGACGCACGTACCGGTCGACATCGACGATGAAGAGGCGCTGACACCCAACCACTTCCTACTGTTGGGACCATCGGGCCTGCCAGTCACCGCGCCGTGCACACCTATGGATCGTCGGGCGTGGAGAGCGGCGCAGGGGCTCGCCGACGAATACTGGAGGCGCTGGGTGAAGGAGTACCTGCCGACGCTGGTCGCGCGCGGGGACTCCAGAGATGCTCAGCAGCGCCAAATTCAGGAAGAGGACCTCGTCGTGGTTGCAGACGGCAACCTACCCAGGAATGTGTGGCCGCGGGGCATCTTAACGAAGACGTTTCCTGGACCAGACGGCGTGGTACGGAACGTCGAGGTCCGGACCAAGGGAGGAGTGCTGCGGCGGCCCGTCAGGAAGATCGCCGTCCTCCCGAGAGAAGCTTAGGCTCGCAGGCTACGCCGGGGGGAGGATGTAGCGGACAGCGAGGAGGCCGCCGCCCCGTCGCCCCTTCACACCCCGGTGCGCCCCGCGCACCCCGCACACCGGCAGCAGATCACGCGATGTCGCCGACCAATGAGCGCGCGGCATCGCGGACGACGCTACGCACGACCCGAGACGCTCTCCGGCGAGATATAAGAAGGGCGTCTCGGACGGTTAGCTGTTCATTTCGGAAGCGGCACTCGACGAGAAGAAGACAGCAAGAGAAATCAAGAAAATCAAGACTCAAGAAGACTCCCCTCTGTGTAATAGTTTAATTAATAGTGCCACATTTTGTAAATAGTTAGAATACAGTATAGTTCGACAGTACCATCTTTTCTTTGAGTAGTTGCCCCCTAGCGTACCCCCCCCCCCCCTCAATAATACAGTCCACTGCGATCCATAACAGATTGGATTTCATGGGCTTTTTTTTGCGCGGAACCCTAATTCTTTTACTAAAATATAAATAGCCTAAGATACTCCTATAACATCAGCTATATGCCAGTGAAAATCCCGTCAAAATCGGTCAAGCCGTTTCGGAGATTAGCCAGAACTATTAAAATTGTTTTTTTGTTATAAGTAATGTAAATACTTTCATATGCATTTAGTAAAATACTGTTATTTTGACATTACAAACAGACACATCAATTTTATTTATTTGTATAGATGTGTTACAAATATATTAAATTATATACAATAAAAATTTGTTTTTTTGCGTTCATTTTTCCAATGTCAAATATTGTTCTTTGGATAAATTTTGTACCAGGGCGGCACTGAAAATTTCGGGAATCAAGGAAGTGAGACAACATTACTATTTAAAAATGTATTTATTGCTTTTTGAAGTATTCTCCGCGAAATTTGACACATTTTTCCATACGATGGAACCAATCATTGAAGCAACCATTCCATTCGGAAGTTGGGGTCTCCAAAATGGCCGTTTTGTAGGCGTCCACAGCTTCTTCAGGTGATGAAAATTTCTGTCCACGCAATTCATTCTTTATTTTAGGGAAAGTATAGAAATCATTAGGACTTAGGTCGGGGCTGTACGGCGGATGGTCTAATAATTCTATGTTTTCTTGCTCTAAAAACTCTTTTGTTCTGTGTGCGGTGTGAGAACTCTCATTGTCGTGATGGAGGATGATGCGGCGGTTGCAGTTCTCTTTACGGAGTTCAGAAACGACCTGTGGCAAACAAATGCTAGCATACCATTCTGCATTAACAGTTCTTTGTCCCTCAAGAGGAATAGTCGTAACATGGCCGGTTTTGGAGACAAACGTGGTCACCATTTTTTTTGCAACACTCCGTGAACGAACAATTTTTGTTGGCTTTAACTCATTTTCGAACACCCAAACTCGTGACTGGTTTTTTGTTTCGGGTTCGTACGCGTATACCCAGGATTCGTCACCTGATACGATGTTGTATACAGCATTTGAGGATCCTGCGTCTTTCGAGAGTTCTGACGCACCAAGTAACGCGAGCCGCTTTTTGCTCTTCACAGAGCGAATGCGGTATCCATCGGGAAAACAACTTTTTTACACCTAATTGTTCATGCAAGATTATTTGTATTTGACTCATGCCAATGTCTAAAGTTGCCTGAATTTCGCGGTATGTCACATGTCGATCTTCCTCAATCAGCTTACGCACAGCATCAACGTTTGCTTGAGTAACTGCAGTTTTTGGACGACCTTGACGGGGATCATCACTGAGCTTGACACGTCCACGTTGAAATTCAGCAACCCAGCGATAAATTGTGGTTTTGGATGGGGCTTCATCACCAAATGCAGAAACCATCCGGTCAACACACTGTTTTTGTGTTAAACCACTTCGAAAGTCATAATAAATCATCGCTCTTGAATTTTCTCGAGTCAATTCCATTTTCTCAACGACTAAACAAGTTTGACAAAACCTTGTGACAAGACCGAGAATCTTTTTTTAAATAAATAAATGGTATTCGATTTTTAAAACCAAGAACTTTTCAATTAAAAAGATTTTAATATGACAGGAACAGTGGAAATATTCCATTCCTGATACTTTTAGTACTGCCTATGTAGTTTGTTCACGTCCATACTGGCAATCGGTCAGAGAATGTACAAGTATATTTACATTGCTACTCAAAGGCCAATGTTTATTTTTAGACACCTCAAATTTATTTATTTGTATAGATAAGGAAGACTGCTGCCATCTCCTGGTTTGCTTCCTTCCATCGACTCGCACACGGGACGATATGTGGTAGTAGATATTCTTACACGACCACCGTTTATTCGTGTTACATAAATTAATATTGAGTCGTATGCGTATTTAAACAAGGACGAAGCTCGTACCACACTTTGGGCACCAAACTTACATATGTAACGGTGGTTCATACGTTAACAACGAACCACCTTTCAAAGAATAAACTATTCTAAGTCTCCATTAGGGACTTAGTATGTAATACACAGTATTTAATATATTATGTAACATACATACTAAAAACCAAATAATGAAATAAATAAAAATCCCTTCCTACATTACATAAACGTTTAATCAAAACAGAAACTAGTGATTTATACACTCTAAAAAAACTGCAGCGGATTTTTAATATATATATAAACGATTTGAATTTGAAAAAATTTGAATTTGAATTTTTTTTACAGGAGAGGGGGCTAACGAGTATGCGACTCAATTGATGGTGACCTTCGCCCATGAACAACTGCAACACCAGGGGAAAGGCGCAGGTGGTAGCCTTGGTAGTCGCACATTGGTGGTTTAAATATTCTGTTTATAACTACATAGTTGCAAAAAATTGTTAAGTCATTTCCGATAAGAAAACCTTATTCTGAAAGTATAAGGGTATAATAAGAACAGATATTGAAGTAAAATAACGATAATTAAATAAGTTAAATATAAAACGAAATATTTCCACATGTGTTTATTTACAGAATCTACACAGTGAATAATTACAGATGTAATATGAAATGGAGAAGTGTTAAAACATTTTCTTTCTACTGATCCTTTATCAATGTGAAAGTTTGTGACGATGTTTGATGATGGATATTTGTTACTCTTTCACGCAAAAACTACTAAATGGATTTAAATGAAACTTTACAATTATATAATATCATATACATCAGAATAACACATAAGCTATAATTCATAAAAATATTGTGTAATTTGGCTAAAATATAACGATAAATGTTAAGTAAGTCTGAAAAAAATCTGTCATCTGCAAGCTATTTTGGCGTGAACACGCATCACGCAAAAACCTGTGAACCAATTTTGATTGGACTATCAATGGCAGATAGTTGATGTTATAAGGAGTAACATGGTTGCTCTTATTTTTGGATTCCACGCAAAAAAAATTCACGCGGGCGAAGTCGCGGGGAACAGCTAGAAAATGTATAAAAATTAAACGGATACTGACCAATCTAAAAGTATAACAAAAAATTCGTCATTCGTACTTTTTAATTGAACCCATTCGAATTTATCTAAAACATTGTTTCACAAATGTAACAAGGATGGATTAATTAGACATTTTCTTGCATCCATAGCATACAATATGTTTACATAGTCTTTATAGTTATTAATGTCTAGTCCATACATAATACCTCTTAAAGTACGTTTCTCTTAGATCGCTAGGTAAGTTATATTTCCATAAAAAAATTATGCTAAGTGATTAAGTGTGTTAATTTAAGTGATACTTGTAGCAATTCTTGTATAAATGTATTGTATATGTAACTGCATTGTACTTATATGTACATATAATTAATTGGTTTCTCTTCTGGTGATTTCTCATTTCTGGTGATTTGGTTAAATTTTGTATTTAATTAATGTTTTACCAAGTTTATCAAGATAGGTTTCTCTCCTGAGAAAATTATAAGTATTTTATTTAATACTGAGCAAAGCTAGGTCGCCCATGTAATTTACAAAACAATACTTAAAATATAACTAACATTGAAAATCAAATGAGGTCAATTACTAATAGTTACTTCGACTGGTTTTCTGACTGAAATGAAAATTCTTTGAATAATTACATTATGAAATCTTGCATAATAAATTTATCTTCTTACGTGAATTTTCCCTAAATGATATTTTTCTTGGGACAGGAAAAGTACTAAAACATGAGTTGAACATCCAACGATTTAATTAAACTATGAACAACAACTACACCTAAATTAACTGCTCAACACTGTTCGCAGACAACTCTAGGAGTCTCCAGGCCGCTTTGGGGTTCAATTCTTGGGGATCCCTGCAGAGAACCCACACATAGTTTACCCTCATGACTTTGTCAGGGTCGCCTTCTATGACATTGTTCTTGCTGTCTCTGACACACATGATCTGTTGGGACTGGAATGTGATGACCAGGACTGGTCCTTGGTCCATCATTTTTCCCATGACTAGCTCGATCTGTTCTATATCAAGGATTTTAGAATCCAGACGGTAACCGAGTTGCTTGCACTGTTTAATTGGTGAGGACAAAATATTATATACTCCTTCGTAACACCAATCCTTTAGTATTTCCAAGTCGCCGCGCACCATTGCTTCTAGAATGTTCGGTATGATGTCGTTAGCACAGTCTTCTAGAAACTTCTGTGCTGTGAAGTTGGGATCGATCTTGCATATCTCGGTGAGGGTTTTAGAGAGTTCCGTCTTCTCGAACAAATTGCCAAAAAGGCTGCTTACTTTCTCGGTGATGAATCGGGATGCTTTTACCACTGCGTTGTCAGACTCTTCGTAACGTATTTTCCAATCCAGAACCTATTAATTAATAATTAATAATCATTAACTTCAATGTGTTAATTTTGTAAAACAAATATTTAAAAGAAGGAAAGAAAACAAATGTGCATGTCTGTACTAAAGGCTCATTATGTAATGCACAGTATTTAATAATATTATCTCACGTAACATACTAAAAAGCAAATAAATAAATATTACCAAGGAAGAATATTATGATTTTTAGCAATTTAAATTTAGTCAATCTACAACATTACACTTTTTTATACTACAATAAACTCAAATCCTAATTATTGTGATTAACAGCACCGTTAGCTGTAGGAGAGACAGCCCATTTTCGCACATGCTATTGACAGTGCTTCAGAGTACCATTAGAAAGAATTAGAAAACGTTGAAGCAAAAGGTTCAAATCACCTTGTTGACATACTGGTTGTTGTTCTTGAAGTTCTCCCACTGCTGGTAGAACTTCGAGTCCTTGTGCAGTTCCAGGCCAAGAGTTTCAGTGTCAGGAGCGAAAGTGCGTTCGTCTTCGGCCACCTGGCACAATAAAACAAGCTCAGTGTAATTCCAAAAATAAATAAGGCTGGTGACTCACTTATTACATATTAACAGAACAGTTTTTTTTTTTTACAATTGGGTAAAAGTAGTAGAGTGAATAATAGGTGGTGATTTATTACATTGTAATAAACAGATTTTTTTACAATTGTGTAAAAATAGTGAAGTGGTAAAGGCTGGTAACTCACTTTTTACATATAATAAACAGAGTTTTTACAATTGGGTAAAAATAGTAGGATGAATGAGACTGGTGACTCACTTATTAGCTTTATTATAATAAATAGAAGACGTTTTTACAATTGAGTAAAAGTAGTAGATTGAATAAGGCTGGTGACTTAGTTTTTACATAATATTATAAACAGAGTTTCTACAATTGGGTAAAACTGTTAAAGTGAATAATACTAGTGACTCACATCTTACTTAAAATCAACAAAATGTTTACAATTGGGTAAAAGTAGTAAAGTGAGTAAGTCTGATGATTCACATATTACATATTATAAATAGAACAAGTTTTTACAATAGTAAAGTGAACAACGGTGGTAACTCACTTTTTACTTAAAATAAACAGAGTTTTTAGAATTAAGTAAATGTCCCAGGAAGTCACACAAATAAGGTTTTACGTGGTAGAGCCATTCTGCAGCTATATTAATAGTATAGTTGTAGCACGAATGGGTCGGCTCGACCGGGGAAGGGCCACGCTCTCACAGAATACCAACGTAAAATAGCAGCTTAACACTGCTGTGTTTCGTATGGTGAGTGTAGAGAACCGGAGACCCTTCTTACTGGAAAGAGGTGTGGCGGCGCTGTCGTCGCGCCACAAGCAATACACATCGAAGCCTAAACCGCGCTAGCAAAGTTCCGAAGTTAAAGCAGTATATATAGAATAGCTCCGAATTACAACTTGGAGCGTTGGTCGCTCCCCGGGCAAAATACCTTGCCCGGCGGGAGATCTCCCCTTTTCCTTCTACCCACCCGCATTCTATCTTAGTCCTCACGACTGACAACGCATCTGCATTTTAATTCGTAAACGAAGATAGATGTAGATGTCTATGGGCCACAGCAACCACTTACCATCAGGTGGACTGTGTGCTCGTTTGTCACCCTTATTCTATAAAAAGAAGGTTAGCTCCTAATGCTGAGATGTTAACCCTATAGTATTTTCACCATGCTAAAAATGTTGTTATAAATTTATGTTCTGTTTTTATAATTGCAACTATTGTAGTGAAATTTACCGTACAGTGGAGGTGTAAGAATATCCACTACCCAATATCGTGCCATGGGAGTCGTAAGAGACGACAGTGACAAACAAACCATTGGTTCAGCATCAGAGTGTTCCTAATAAAACTACATCCATTGTGCATTCCAAGCATTGCATTCATTGTGGCAATTTATGGGGATTTATGTAGTGAATAGATTAATATCTTATTAATAATATTCTTGAATTGCTTATAAAATGCAATATGCAATAGGTACCGCGTATCGTCCTCCTTGGTTTCACATTGATACTTTTATAAATGATCTATCTGATACAGTCAGTTCATTTTCAGCCTATGACTACATTGTATTGTTAGGAGATTTCAATATTAATTTGCTTGCACCTTCAGATCCTAATTCAAAAAAGCTCAATGATTTTCTACTGTGTATGGGTCTGAGGCAGTACGTCACACAAGCGACTCATTTTACTGATCACTCGGAAACTTTACTTGATTTGATTTGCAGTAGCTGTGATGTATTTAATATACAGGTTGACTATGTGCCAGATCTGAGTCATCACGCTTTTTTATCTTGTGATTTGAATGTAAAGAAGCCAAAGCAAGTGTCAACATGTATTACTTATAGACCAATTAAGGATATAAACGTACCACAATTTAATTCTGATGTTGATGCTGTACTGTGGGAAGAGTTGCTTTGTGATGACGTAAACAGTTCTGTAACGGCTTTTAATTCACAAATATTGTATCTGTTTGATATTCATGCACCAATAAGAACATCTTACATTAAAGGCCATAGCTATCCGTGGATCACACCAACGATTAGGGAAATGATGAAGCTAAGAGATAAAGCTCACGCCAAATGTAAAGGCATAAATTCCAAAGGTGACAAAAAATATTATAAAGATCTGAAGAGTACTGTTAATGCTGCTATACTGAGTGAAAAAACAGCCTACTTTCGTTACTTTATTAATAACAATTCAAAAAACCCTCAAGTACTTTGGAGAAATATAAAGAAAAATGTGGTAGACTTCAAAAATAAAGATATTGATTTGCCATCAAACTTGAATGATCCTGACATCATAAATCATCATTTTCTACACATACCAGGAAGCAATAGTGTAAGTCCTTCAACATTATGCTATTTTGAATCTAACCGTTTCAATTCGTCGGTTTTTACTTTAAAATTAGTGGATGAAAACTTGGTATTAGAAATTTTGAAAAATATTACCACAAATGCTATGGGTGTAGATGGTATTACTAAAGATATGGTTGTCTTAACATTGCCACGGACTTTAAGTGCTATAACCAACATTATTAATATGTCGATACGGACAGGAGTTTTCCCAGACACCTGGAAGGAAGCAGTTATAATTCCAATACCAAAAAATAATCATCCTGTAGAACTAAATCATCTTCGACCTATAAGTATACTACCTTTTTTATCTAAAATTGCTGAAAAGGCTGTTTATATGCAATTAATGGAATATCTAAACCAGAACAATATTTTACCTCTAAAACAATCAGGTTTTAGGGCTGGACTAAGCACGGTTACAGCACTATTGAGTGTTGTCGATGATATTCTAACAGCGCAGGATAAAGGAGAGGCTACAATTTTGACACTGCTGGACTTTTCGCGTGCATTTGACACAATAGATACTACTTTACTTCTGTCGAAGTTGATGTATTATGGTTTTGACTGTAACGCATTAAAGTGGTTTGAAAGTTATTTAAATGGTCGTACACAGCGCGTCAGACTTCGAAATGAAACTGGTACCAACATTTTTTCTGTTGCGTCTCCTGTTACTCGTGGCGTTCCACAAGGGTCGATTCTAGGTCCTTTACTGTTTATCCTTTACAGTGCCGATATTACGGGCTGTTTTAAATATTGCCAGTATCATTTATATGCCGACGACCTTCAAGTCTACATATCATTTAGGCCGGATGATACTAATGAAGCAGTTAACAAACTAAATCTGGATTTAAGCATGATCGCTGAGTGGGCGAATAATAATGAACTCATCTTAAATTCAAATAAAACCAAATTCATGATTTTGGGATCAAAGAAATTAATAGAACGAACGAATGCTCATAAGCCTAAAATTGTTGTTGGTGGCAACCATATTGAACAGGTATCCGAAGTTCGTAACTTGGGTATAATTATGGATAATAGACTAAGGTTTGAAAATCATGTTACGCATACAGTAAAAAATTGTTTTTACAGATTGAAAATATTATATAATATTCGGGAATACCTAAGTGAAGAATTGAGAATTCAACTTTGTGAGTCACTAATACTCTCGAAGCTAAATTATGCTGATATTGTCATGGGAGAGTGTTTGCTTGCGCGAACCAAACTCGTAATACAACGAGTACAAAATGCATGCGCTAGGTTCTGTTTTCGAATCCCTCGTAGAGGTCACGTGACACCGTTTTTAAATCAGAGCAAACTTATTAACATGAAATCTCGTAGATCGGTTCACTACAGTTGTTTACTTTATAAAATATTACAAAGTCAACAACCGAAATACTTATATGAGAAGCTCAGTTTCTCGCAACGTTTCTCACGGGAAACTGTTCGCTTGTTGTACCCAAGACACAGAACGGCTGCGTTTCGTGGTAGCTTTCGGTATGCTGCCACAAAGTGTTGGAATAATATACCACCTCCGATCAAGGGCAGCAGGACAGTTCGCACTTTTAAAGTAAAACTAAAAGAATATCTTTTAAATTTGCAAAGTTAGTTCTGTGTCGATGTATTACACCTTTCTTATGAAGGTTGATTGAATGTTTGTATATTATAAAAATACTTGCTAAATTCTCCATTTATTTTATTTTATTTTTGTATCTTATTAAATAATTTAATTGTGTGCCTTGTGCCTTGCATATGTTTTGTTTTTTGTTTTGTTACGGTTTTTTTTTTTTTTGCGTTGGCTTATTATTGTGCCTTTCTTTCCTAAATGTTAACAGTTTTTTTTTTTTAAATTATTATTTATAAATTTTATAAGTGTATTTTTTATTTTTATGTTGGAGCCTGTGATTGGCTAAGTTTATTTTATTGCGCCTATGTCTCTGGCGTTTACTGAAAATCAGCGTTATAGTTATCACTATGTGGTTTCTATAACATTTGTGCTGAGTAGACGCCATTTTAGTTCCTGTTTGTTTTGATTTGACTGTCCAATTTATTTTGATATGTTAATTTGTGTTTTTGTTTAGAACTAAATAAATTATATATTATTATTATTATTATTATAAAAAAATTTGTTGGCTTTACCTCAACCCGTTTCCGCAATGTAATCGGCGATGTGTACACTCGGCCCTCCAGTCCTCGCGACGCCATCTCATTCTTTACTACTTCTGTCGCCTGGAATCATAATAATACCATATCAACACTAGTGATTTATGAATCTCGAAAATACTGCCAACTACCGAGTCCATTTGGACGTAGTTATACAAAAACGTTCCAACCCACAAGTCATTCACAAATGAGTTAAATATACAGATCTACTCATTTTGACATCTTCATATGACGTAGTTATACAAAAACGTTCCAACCCACAAGTCATTCACAGATGAGTTAAATATACAGATCTACTCATTTTGACATCTTCATATGACGTAGTTATACAAAAAAGTTCCAACCCACAAGTCATTCACAAATGAGTTAAATAAATATACAGATCTACTCATTTTGACATCTTCATATGACGTAGTTATACAAAAACGTTCCAACCCACAAGTCATTCACAAATGAGTTAAATATACAGATCTACTCATTTTGACATCTTCATATGACGTAGTTATACAAAAAAGTTCCAACCCACAAGTCATTCACAAATGAGTTAAATAAATATACAGATCTACTCATTTTGACATCTTCATATGACGTAGTTATACAAAAAAGTTCCAACCCACAAGTCATTCACAAATGAGTTAAATAAATATACAGATCTACTCATTTTGACATCTTCATATGACGTAGTTATATAAAAACGTTCCAACCCACAAGTCATTCAAATATTACTTAAATATACAGATCAACTTAATTTGAATCGCTTCGCGAAGATGTCAAAATAAATAGATCTGTATATTTGACTCATTTTTGAATGACTTATTGGTTGGAACGTTTTTGTATAACTACGTTCAATTGTAAATTAAAACCAGCTAATTATGATTGTGGCATGAAAAGGTCGGCTCGACCTGGGAGGGCTTTCACAGAATACCGGCGTAAAATAGCTTAATGCTGCTGTGGTTTGTATGGTGAGTGTAGAGAACTCTTTTTAACTGGAAACGAGGCACTCTATCTGAATCCTCAGGAATGGATGACAAAAGGACAGATGTAGATGTCTATGGGTCACAGCATCCACTTACCAGGAGTTGACCTCCATTCTACAAAAAAAATTAGAATGTAACAGTAGACGTTAATGCAAAATGTAAGTATTAAGATGCAATGCTTCTTCATGACAGCAGAAAAGATAATAAGGCCCGGATGAGAAAGGAGGAGGGGACGAATCCGCAGGAGAGAGTGGGTGTATCCGGTGGACTAACACACCCACCTGCGCTAGGACCTGCGCAGTCGAGCGCCGTACGCGGGGATGAAGGAGTCCTGGAGGGTTGAGCCGATCGTCGCTGGGGTATATAGTGGCGAGAGGCAACACGCCCTCTTTGGTCCGGATTTCAAGCTAAACGGTGGCCCTATCTGCTAGCCACAGATAGGGAAATGGCCAAGCGCCCCGTCAGAGGGTCGCAGGCGAGGGATGTGGGGGCTGCCTAGTCTTCCTGAAAAGGGGGCTGGGTGGTGGTAAAGGCCATGCTGACGGAGCAAGTGACAGTTTATTCGGGTGGTGGGGATGGGCCTTGTCAGCCCCATCTACCAGCTGGATCGAGCTCCCGATGTCGCGCTGTGAGCCAACTTCGCGTCCCTATATTCTCCCGGTAATCCTAACGCCTGAAATTCCTAAAGTAGGGCGTTCCCAAAGGTGCGGGCTCCATGGAGGGTGGGAAGCCGGGGGGATGAATTTTAAAAAACACAAATTATGGACAATTTAAGGCCCAAAAAGAAAGAGGGAGAGGTGTCAGAGGTGCTTACCAGAGACACCAAAGAACAAAAGGGAAGCGTCACTACACCGACGGTTCCACGGACAGTACCGTCCAGCGTAGGTGCCCCCACCAAAGGGATAACCTCGCTGAACGTTTCCAAAACCAGTTCCAAGGAGCTGGAAGAGAAAAATAAACAAGAGCCCGCAAGTGATAAAACTGCGGAGCCACTACGGACTGACGACCTTTTCTCTGCTGCCTGGCAAGTGGTGAGCCGTAAGGGGAAAGGCAAGGCACCCAAAAAGGTGACTTGCCGACCTGACGGACCATCAGGAGGGTCTATCCCTGCAGGCAGTAGTGGAAAGGCCAAAAAGAAGAACAAGAAGCAGCGGGAAAAAGGCCGTAGAGAACGAGCCGCATTGGCTGCTTCAGATACCAAAACCAAGGAGGCTGGGCAAGCTACTACGACTGAGGTGCTTGGCGCTGGAACCAGTAGCCGCGCTGAAGCTGGGAAGGATAAAAATCCAGCCCAAGTGGAAGTCGCGGACGCGGGAACCAGCTCTAGGATATCCGCCAGGAAGCAGCGAGCGGCCAAGCGTCCTGGGAAGAAGGAAAGAGCAGCCAAAAGGATGCTGGAAGAGTCCACCTCGCCTAGAGGTGAACACAAAAAAGTGCGACTCGAACAGCAACCAAAGACTGCAAGAACGAGCTACGCTTCCGCTGCTAAAGCAGATTTGGGTGTGGCCTTAACGTGTGCGCGTTCAGGTCACATTACGAAGGAAGTAGCAGACGACATCCTCGTAGCAATACAGAGGAAGATGATCAGCGAGGCCTGGAGTAGCCAGGACCCTGATGCGTCGGGCCCAGTTTTTAGGGGCAAACCCGTTTATACGGAAGGTGTCCTGAAACTGTGGTGCGACGATCAGAAGGCTCTGGACTGGTTGAAGGGGAACATTGCTACCCTCGACCTTAAATCCAGCACCTTGCTGACAATAAAGAAACAGTCAGAGATACCACAAAGAGTCAAATGTGGTATCCTTATCCCTGATGCCCAGGGGGCCTGGAAAGACTCACGCGACATTGGTCGCGTGTTGGCGTACCAGAACCGCTGGGTTAACATCAGGGACTGGCTGTTACTCAAGGCAGATAAGCAGACGGACGGGTGGTTCCTCGTTGTTTCGGTGCCGGAGGATCATATCCCGACCCTGATGAAGGCCGGACGCCGTCTCGCATGTGTATGCGGGGCGGTATACGTAAAATTCCAGGGTCGTGGAGGCAAATTCTTTGATACTCCACCGAGCAAAGAGGTAGAAAACAACCCGGAAGTTATGGATACCGGAGCCATAGTTACCGGTACAGCGGAATCACTGGAGGCCAAGTCCAGTGAAGAAACGGCCTGCACAATTGAGCCGAAGCCCCCAGTGGAGATTGGGCTCAGCGGCAGCTCACTGAGTGACGAGGAGGACTGCATTTTGCCGACCACCTCCGACTCGGTGGCTGACGATGAAACCCGAGATCTTCTGGCAGGCCTATTTTTGGGCGGGGACGGGGAGGACGCGATCAATGATGGCGTGCCCTTCGTCCAAAACTAGCCTAGTGCAGGCCAACCTTCACCACAGCGAAACTGCGTCGGCTCAATTACGCAAGTGGTTGGAGGTTCAAAGGACTGCCATAGCCTTAATCCAGGAGCCATGGGTTGGGGCTGGTAAAATTAAAGGCCTAAACAACCTAAAAGGTAAGTTATTCTACAGCTCTGAACACGACAAGCCTAGAGCGTGTATTTACACTACTAAAGATATCTGTGCACAACCTTTAACAGATTTCTGTTCTAGAGACATGTATGCCGTAGCAATACAGTACACACAGGAGAGTAGATTAGTCGTCGCCTCGGTCTACATGCCGGAGGAAGACACTCCTCCCCCTCATGACCTCAGCAGGCTGGTGAACTTCTGCGAGAGGACCGGACTAGAGGTTGTGATCGGGACGGACTCCAACGCACATCATCCCCTTTGGGGAATGGAAAAACCAAATGAACGAGGTAAAGTTTTAGTTGAATATTTATTTAGTACTAACCTAACCATTTTAAACATAGGTTCTGAACCTACTTTCATTAACAAACGCTGTCGCACTATAATCGACCTCACACTTGCAACAGAAGGAGCAGCCAAACTAATTACGGGATGGCATGTGTCGAGAGAGGCCTCATGCTCAGACCATAGATGGATCTGCTTCGCACTACAGGTCGATATCCCCTCTACACCACCATGGAGAAATCCCCGCAAGACAGATAAAACTAAATACCTAAATAGGCTGACGTCTTTGCTAGCGGTTTTTGAGGGGATAAATACTATAGCAGATCAGTCGCTCCTAGAAGAACAGGTAGCAGCTGTTACTAAGGCCATGATAGACAGCTACCATGAATCATGTCCAGAAATCACTCCACCAAGACATGCCGAGGTAAAACAACCGTGGTGGGGTAAAGAACTCGATAGAAAACGTAAGAAGGTAAGAAAAGCTCTAAATAGGGCCATAAATACCTCAATGGATGAAGACTGGCTATTATATAAGAAAGCTAAGTCTGAATACAAAAAATGTATCAGGTATCGACGCTCGATTGGGTGGCGTAAATTCTGTGGCAACATAGAAACCTGCAAACAAGCAAATAGGATTAGGAATATTCTAGCTAAACAGAACACGTCGGGATCCATGTCTCTAAAGAAACCCGACGGTAGCTACTCAACATCGCCGGATGAAGCCCAACGCATCCTAATTGAAACGCACTTCCCAGGTTGCTGCGTAACCCAGGAGGCAAACCGGCATGACGACATACTGACATCAACAGCAGAAGACTGGAATTTAGCACAGAGAGTGGTAACGATGGACAAAATCCATTGGGCCATTCACAGTTTCCTCCCCTATAAGGCGGCAGGACCCGACGGCATATTCCCGGCACTCCTACAGTGGGGGGGTAAAGCCCTAGTAGTCAGACTTGCTGCCATAATGCGAGCCTGTCTTGCTCTTAAATATGTTCCTAGGGGATGGAGGGAAGTGAAAGTTACATTCATACCCAAACCAGGTAAGAGCGACTACACTGACCCTAAATCCTACAGGCCCATTAGCCTCACATCCTTTCTCCTAAAGACGATGGAGAGGATGTGTGAAAGGGAATTAAGGGGGTCGGCGCTAATGAACTTACCACTACACGACAAGCAACACGCCTACAGTCTAGGCAAATCAACAGAATCGGCCCTTCATAAGGTAATTACAAAGATTGAAGAGGCCATCCAAAACAAAGAAATATGTCTAGGTTCCTTCATAGATATAGAAGGTGCTTTTGACCGAACGAACTTCTCCAGCATAAAAGGTGCACTCGGTAGACACAAAGTTGAACCGGCACTGATCGACTGGATAGTTTACATGCTCAGTACACGAATTATAAAGATTGCTGGTGAATCTCAACCAATCCAAATTAAGAAAGGCTGCCCGCAGGGTGGGGTTCTCTCACCTCTCCTGTGGAATATGGTCATTAATGAACTCATCAGCAAATTAAATGACAATCACTTCTATACAGTAGGTTATGCTGATGACCTGACAATACTGGTCTCTGGAAAGACAGCAAGCATAGTGTGCGACCTGACCCAAGCGGCTCTCCGTATAGTGGAGAGATGGTGCAGGGAACACGACTTAACCGTCAATCCAAATAAAACGGTTTTAGTTATGTTCACACAAAAACGAAAGCTGAATAACTATCATCCTCCAAGTCTTTTTAGCACAAAACTCCAGCTATCCTCTGAGGTAAAATATTTAGGTCTTACCTTGGACAGCAAACTTAACTGGAATAAACACATAGAAAACAAAATCAACAAAGCTAGTATAACTTTCTGGCAATGCAGAAACATGATTGGCAAAAGATGGGGATTGACGCCAAAAATCATACTGTGGCTTTACAAAACTGTAATTCGGCCCATGATCACATACGGCGCTCTGGTATGGTGGACCAAGACAAATGAAGCCACCATAATTAAAAAGCTTCAGCGCTACCAGAGACTGGCATGTATGGCTGCTACTGGCTGCATGAGAACTACGCCAACAGCAGCCTTAGAAGCGATGCTGGAGCTAACTCCGCTTCATCTACATATACAACAAGAAGCGACTTTAGCTGCCATCAGACTCAAGACCCTAAATCTTTGGAGTAAGAATAGTGTCCCTCATACAGGCATAATTGATAGAATTCACTCAAAAATTCCTATCCTACAAGCCAAATACGATAGGATTCCTAAACAATTTGTTTTCGATAAGAAATACAAGATACAGTTAAATGAAAACAGCCAGCCGGAAGGATTAAGCCCAAAAGAGCTTAGAATTTTCACCGATGGTTCTAAAACAAATGAAGGTGTAGGTTGTGGAGCTTTCTCTGAAGACCTCAATATTCACATATGCACACCGCTGGGTACCTATAACACGGTCTTTCAGGCGGAATGTATGGGTATCATTCAAGCGGCCATAGCAATAGATGCTAGGAAGGTTAATGACTTCCCCATCAGAATACTGACCGACAGTAGGGCGGTACTACAAGCCCTGAGATGTAATGTGGTGAACTCGGGACTAATATATGAATGCCATCAACGATTAAATGAGGTATGTAAAAACAACAATGTGACCCTGCAATGGATAAAGGGACACAGTGGATCCAGAGGCAACGATGCAGCAGACGAACTGGCCAGAAGAGGATCGGCTTTGGCCACTATAGGGCCGGAACCAATCATACCAATCCCCTTTGGTAACGTTTGTTCACTGGTACGTAGACACTTCACAATTCAACACGCTCAGCTTTGGAAAAATCTAGTAGACTGTAGACAAGCTAGGGATGCCCTGCCTGAAATTAACAGTCGCTTAACAAAAGTTTTAATGAGACTGAACAAGCCGCAGATTAGGATAGTAACAAGTGCTATCACAGGACACGGCACCTTTAACAAACATTTATTTACTATAGGTGTTACAGATAGTCCCCTGTGCAGGGCATGTATGGGGGAGGAAGAAACGGCGGCCCACGTGCTACTGAAATGTCCGGAGGTCGCTACATACAGGGCTAAACATCTCGGCACGCCGGGATCACTCCCCGAAGTTGCATGCAACATCAAGGGCCTGTTGAGCTTCTTCGGAGAGATCTCATGGCTCGAATAATCACATTATTCCTGCCCACACGCAAAATACGCGCATAGACGTGGAGTTGCGGAAAACAGCCCGTCGTAAACTAAACTAACTAAACTAATGACGTAGTTATACAAAAAAGTTCCAACCCACAAGTCATTCACAAATGAGTTAAATAAATATACAGATCTACTCATTTTGACATCTTCATATGACGTAGTTATACAAAAACGTTCCAACCCACAAGTCATTCACAAATGAGTTAAATATACAGATCTACTCATTTTGACATCTTCATATGACGTAGTTATACAAAAAGTTCCAACCCACAAGTCATTCACAAATGAGTTAAATAAATATACAGATCTACTCATTTTGACATCTTCATATGACGTAGTTATACAAAAAAGTTCCAACCCACAAGTCATTCACAAATGAGTTAAATAAATATACAGATCTACTCATTTTGACATCTTCATATGACGTAGTTATACAAAAAAGTTCCAACCCACAAGTCATTCACAAATGAGTTAAATAAATATACAGATCTACTCATTTTGACATCTTCATATGACGTAGTTATACAAAAACGTTCCAACCCACAAGTCATTCACAAATGAGTTAAATATACAGATCTACTCATTTTGACATCTTCATATGACGTAGTTATACAAAAAAGTTCCAACCCACAAGTCATTCACAAATGAGTTAAATAAATATACAGATCTACTCATTTTGACATCTTCATATGACGTAGTTATACAAAAAAGTTCCAACCCACAAGTCATTCACAAATGAGTTAAATAAATATACAGATCTACTCATTTTGACATCTTCATATGACGTAGTTATATAAAAACGTACCAACCCACAAGTCATTCAAATATTAGTTAAATATACAGATCCACTTAATTTGAATCGCTTCGCGAAGATGTCAAAATAAATAGATCTGTATATTTGACTCATTTTGAATGACTTATTGGTTGGAACGTTTTTGTATAACTACGTTCAATTGTAAATTAAAACCAGCTAATTATGATTGTGGCATGAAAAGGTCGGCTCGACTTTTGGAGGGCTTTCACAGAATACCGGCGTAAAATAGCTTAATGCTGCTGTGGTTTGTATGGCGAGTGTAGAGAACTCTTTTTACTGGAAACGAGGCACTCCATCTGAATCCTCAGGAATGGATGACAAAAGGAGAGATGTAGATGTCTATAGGTCACAGCATCCACTTACCAGGAGTTGACCTCCATTCTACAAAAAAAAAATTGAATGTAACAGTAGACGTTAATGCAAAATGTAAGTATTAAGATGCAATGCTTCTTTATGACAGCAGGAAAGATAATAGGGTTGCAAATGGTCTCCCAGGCATAAAAGGAACAATACAACCTCGTTTATATACTTAAGTACATGTGGGAATGATGTTATGAATAGTTTACCTACGTTTCTTCCCACCGTCTTATCTATTTCTGCAGCTAAAGCGCAACGCGTGCACAGCTGTTCTTTAAAGATTATAGAACTAGTACAATTACAGGCTGTGACGCATTCCAGAGGTGACAACACATTTGTAACCCACTCTATTTGAAGTTGGCTGCAGGTGTCCATGGAATGCAACAGCCGCTTGCCATCAGTCCAGTGGACTGTAAGTTTGTGTGTTACTTTTTTATAGAAAAGGTGGCAAATAAGCATGCGGCTCGCCTGATGGCAAGTGACTACCGCCGCCCATGAACAACCGCAACTCCAGAGGAATTGCAGGTGCGTTGCCGGCCTTTTAGATAGGAGTAAGGTCCCCTAGTCGTATCGGTCCGGAAAAATCGCCAAAGGTAAACAACACCGCATAGAAGTTGTATGAGAACGAAAACTCCTAGTAAAACGCACAATGGTGGATTACCAAGCATCCAGGCGATGAGGATGGTATCGTAAATTTTGACGCGATGTGTGTTCGTGAAATTTGGCGGCTGAAATTAATCGGAACAATTCCTCAGAGCACTCCCCGTGGTAGATGTAATAGAAACTGCAAAGGGATGCAACATCCCTACGCAGCGTCTGTGAAGCAAGCCGATCAGAAAGAACTCGGTCGTCGACGATTCGAATCGCACTGCGCTGGATGCGGTCAAGTGGAAGGAGCTGGCACTGGTGTGCCCCGGCCCATAGATGAGAACAGTATTCCATATGAGGCCGAATCGTATCGGTATCATCGATTAAATGTGAACTGAGTCATTCGGGGTGGTGGGCGTTAAAATCGCCAAGGATCACGATCTCTGTGGACGGGATCTGCTGTAGCAAGGAATCTGTAGCCATTTGGTCGTGGTTGATGAGTCAGTCTGTTTCGGCATTTTCGCTATGGGACCTATAGAGGCACCCGTCGTCGCAGTCTACGCGCACCCATAGGATGGACAGGTCCGTACCTTCAAAAACGTCGAAAACAGATGTGCTCTGTGACTATATACGCAAATCCCAGCCCGAGGCACAAACGAGTGTTCTAATTTGTACCCCGGGTGAAGTATTAGCCGGAGAGGAGACCTGAGTCTCGGTTAAAAAGAGCAAGGCCGGCTTCGCCGTCTTCAGATGGTAGGTGGACAGTGTTAACGTTGAATTGAAGTTCTCTGCAAAAATTCACGAATAGCGTGACAGGGGTCGCTTGGTCTTATTGCTTCGCTGAAATCCCCCCCCCCCCCCCCGCCCGAATACGCGGAGCAGCCTGAGCACCCATGCTCAGAAAGAGTAGGATAGCTTGTCGGTGGATGCTCAGTACCATGTTAAGGGCGGAATTGGGCCTATGGCCACCTGCACTTACCAAGCGAAACGCAGAGGTAAACCTCTACTTCACGCTGGTATTCTGTGAGGTCGTGGTACCACCCGGTTCGAGCCAGCCCATCGGTGCGACAACTAAAGCTGCCGCGTGGCTCTAACACTGCACTTTAGTTTTATAAAAAAAACTGGCAAATTCTTGGAAATACTCACCTAACTTAGAAAGACTATAGGATGGTCCAAGTAACAAGTGTTTTTAGGGCCTACATATAACTGTTGCAGGTACGGATATTTGTCCATGTGCAATTTATATATGTAATATGTCCCCATGATACAAGAAAAATCCTGTTTATTAAATATAAAAATAAAAATATTATTGATGTGAATCGTTATCGTGTAATTTTATAGCACATATGTACCTGTGATATAGTCTTAAACGCAGATGTCTGTCCAAGCTTCTGGCTCTTGTCGGCTATGCTCTCAGCTGCATCTTTAGCTGTTTTCGATATATCTTCGGTTATCCTTCCTGAAAATGACAGAAAAATCTTGATTGAAAACCAATTTTAAGCGAAACCAGGCCTGTCTCACTACGCGCTTTAGGCATTTAAATACACCTACGATGCGCGGCCGTCTACATGAGACTAATTCCGTGAGGTAGCGCTCGAGCTGACGCGCACCTTATGTTAACATAAAAAGTATTTTTCTCTAATAAGTATTTAGGCACTTTTTATAGATATTTAGTTTTGAGTTTTTATTCAAGTATGGCCTCTCAAAAAGCCAAAAGGTACTCCATAGCATACGGGTACTTAAATAACAATAGGAATGTCGCCTTTTCATTCTTTACTGTTCCTAACGATACCGAAAGGTAATACGAGTATATTATTATTTATAGGTAGATCTAGATAATTAGGTACTAGTAGTTACTGACGCCATAGTTACAGATTTATTATGTGATTAGTGACCCGACCACAGTTTCACAGTTTTCGATTTTTCCGCGTATAATGCCAATGACCTTAAAAATTGTTCAGTGTAAGTAGGCCTCCCAGTACTAGTGACTGCCTACTAATGCAAGATCAGCATATACTCGGATATTTGTTTAACACTTGGTCGAAATAATTTTTCTGGCTCTGTTCTATGTATGGAAACTGTCCCTGCGTTACAGGTAAAAATTCTGGTGTGGAGGTAACGTTTTTTAAAAAGAGAGGAAGAGAGACAAGTAATGAAATAAAAAATTTTGTACCAACGACTTCAATATTAATAACCATTATTAAGGATAACTTCAAAACTACTGGTCAAATCTTGATCTAATCTACATGGGATGTATAAATTATAAGCACCAGCTTTCAAATAAAAATAGAATCATAAAAATCGATTCACCTAGAAAAAAGTTCTGGGGTAACACAAAAAAAAAGTAACTAGATTATCAATAAAGAGTTATTGATTTGACTTATATCTTTGTACTGAAACATTGCCAATAGGATAAAAACATTTGCACAATGTCGGTTTCTTTACTAATGTAATTACTACCATATTCTTTTTTTTTTAAAGGTCGGTCATTTTTTTTTTTTCGTATTTAAAAAATACATACTTAGATACAAATTAGATGCGTTGATAAAGGACTCCCAATAATACTTTTTCTCACAAAAGAAGGAACTTCAAAAACAAAAGAAAAATAAATAATCGGACTGGAGACATATATGGACTCGAACCGGGGTCTTCTGGTTTCGGGATCGCATGACTCCTCACCTGAGCTATATAACCTTGCAGATAGTGGCGAAATTTACCTTCGTATTCTAATAATATTGTAACAGTTTTTTTTTTGCCTGAAAACACGGATAAAACGACATTTTCTAAAAATGAATCCTAGCTAGATCGATTTATGGCCCCCGAAACCATGTAGTGGGTACTAAATTTCATGAAAATCGTTGGAGCCGTTTCGTGATTCCTAGATTAGATACAGTTGAATTGAGTACCTCCTCCTTTTTTTAATTCGGTTAAAAATGGTAAGTAGGTAAATTATCTGAATTTCAAAGACGTTCACGTTGTTATAATATTAATTTTCCTCGATATTGCATATTAACCTTCCTCACATGGAACAGTAAAGTTTTTATTATCAGCAGCTTGATGGCTCCGTGGCGCAGTGGCTTAGCAATGAATTGCAACGCTGGAGCCTTTGGTTCGAATCCCGCACGGAACAAGTATTTGTATGCCTACAAATAATTGTTCCGGGTTTAGATGTTTGTCCTTGTGCAATTTATGTTTGTTAAGTGCCTTCACGATTCAAGAGAAAATCCTAGTATGGGAGTAACTTTTTTTTATAACTAAAAAAAAGAACAAAGGAATACCAATACATTACATAACATCTTGGTGTATTCTACTATATACCAACTAATATCAAAGGATTCAATTTATTTTCTCACAACACCTAACCCTACAGTAGAAGCGGTCCAAAAGTGTGTAACGGGCTAAGTGATACAGACACTCTCACGTGGACGTAAGGTGCATTTTGATTTAATACCTTAATACCTTGCCTTATTAATTTTTGTTTCGACGTATGCTAATTTCACAAAGGTCACTTCCGAGGCGTGCAAAATATTATGAACATTAGAGACATTGTAACTAGGTTTAAGCTCGCAAGTTTGCTATCAGAGAGTGAGACTTCTGTTCTTGTACTATTATTTATTTTGTGGCGAAACTAGCCTTAAAGTTGAAGAGTATCTATTACAACACTTTACATTGACAGAATTGCTATTTGCTTTCTGTCACAGTGATTGGTGCACAAGCTTTTAAGATTACAATTAACAGAAATTCTAATGTTAGTAGATTCCGTCAATATTTATTTATATTTTTTATAGCGGGAATTTATAGGAAAAAAAATGTTCAGAAACCTTCAGAAAACTAAACTTCAAGAGAATGAGATAAATGCAGTATCAGGAACAGTATATTTCAGCTAATAGTGTAACAAAAAAGTACGTTAAAATTAACAACAACCAGTTATGAATTTAGCCAATAGCCTTACACATATGTGTTAAAAGTATCATTTTGTGCATATTTAATAAAGAAAACACTTCAAAAGATTTCAACAAGTGCGGCATTAAATATAAATGTTTAATTTTATAGCAAATAAATATTACAGTCCTTAGTCTAAATTTTAGTGCAATAAATTTATTTAAGATGCCATAATATTATTCTGGTATCAAAAGTACTCTCTTATGTCGCAAGATATGGTGATTTAAACTGAAATGCACTTTGATAAACTTACCAGCCTTTTTAGCAAACTCTGTTTTACTAGCCTCCTCCAAAACATGCTCAACTTTCCCCTTAATTCCTTCCAAAGTGTCTTTAAGGACTTCTGAGCCTTTTGAAGCCTCTGATTCAACCGCGTGGAACTTTCTCCGTGCTGCCTGCAGCGCTTCGGAATTCTCAAGCCTCTGTGCTTCTTCTCTGAATTTCTTGATATTTTCTTTCATCTCTTTGTTTTTGGCGATATCTTCTTTGATGTTCTCGATGATTGAAGAGAAGAATCCTTTTCGTGCAGAATAACTCCGCCATTCTAGTACTGTAAACTACAGGTTATAAACTATTAATTAAATAATTAATATCCTCTACACCGAATTTCGATAACAGTGGCTAGTCTCAAGGAGACCAGCAATCTGCGTAGAACAGAATTATAGTACAAGTGTGTGTGCAAGCACATGTGCACTGTCTATTCCCTCACTTACATAGTCCAATGGAATGCAATCCAACACAACCTCTTTCTGGTCGTGTTGGATTTCATCAGGAGCAGGTACAACCTGAGTCCAGTCTCCTACTGATAATATGTAGACAGTAAAACCCAAAAATGTGTAATCGTGATGTAAGAAAATCTACTAGCTCATATTATTCAGTGTATGTCATAAGAGGCGACAGAGGGGAATGAGATGGGCAGCAACTTCTTTCTGATAACAACTGAAAATAACAAAAATCTTTAGTTGGCAACATGCTTGAACATTGAACATCGCACCATGGATGATTTTGTAATACATACAGCAAAAAAGGGGAATAATTTTGAAACGTCTGTCTTTCCATCTGAATACAATCTGGGCGTCTTCAAGGCAAGAATGAATAGGCTTTTTTTGCTAAGACAGTGTGATGATCTTTTTTTATAGGATAGAGTAACAAACGAGCACACAGTCCACCTGATGGTAAGTGGTTGCTGTGACCCATAGACATCTACATTTATCCTCAATGAAGAATGAAAATGCAGATGCGTCGTCACCCGTGAGGAATAAGATGGTATGCCTCTTTTCCAGTAAAATGGGTCTCCGGTTCTCTACTCTCAGCATACGAAACACAGCAGTGTCAAGCTGCCATTTTACGCTGGTATTCTGTGAGAGCGTGGTCCTTCCCCGGTCGAGCCGACCCATTCGTGCTACAACTATACTACTAATATAGCTGTAACATGGCTCTACATTTACCATCTCTTCATCACCACGAGGTGGGATTGTGGTGAAGCACTGGCTTAAGTAAAAAAAATTTCACTAAACCAGGATATGCTAGCTGTTTAAAACACCCTCAATCTTGTGATAACTAAAGTCAGTGCAAGAGGGGTTCCTAGTACGCTAACACCAGTTCAAAAACGTGACCATGTGAAATGTTCTCGTGAGGTTTTCTACCAACTTCAAAAAGGCGATGGTACTCAATTCGACTGTATGTTCTCATAACTTTTATTCTGGTTGAACCGATTTCGATAATTCTTTTTTATTTGAAACCTAGTGCTTCTCATGTGGTCCCATATACATTTGATCAAGGTCTGACCAATAGTTTTTAAGTTATTCTAAATAATTTATATTGAAGGCAGTTGTACAAAATTTTTAATTTTTAATTATTTTATTGGTTCAATTTTAGAATCGCTTGGCAGGAGGAGGAGGCAGGGGTTGAGGGGAGGAGAAGGGGGAGCGTCTCCTTACTCCCGACACCACTCCCATTAAAGGTAATATACCGTTCTCGAGAAAAATCAAAAAGAAAATCCCATAGACCTAACCTGAAAGTAATATATATCGTCTCAGGTAGGAGGAGGGAAGAGGGTAGAAGGAGTGTGCCTTATCAGGGGAAGCCCCTCTACCTTTCCCTCGTTGCGGAAAAGTATAGTTTATGAGTAATGTTTTTTTTGTAAAATCATAACCTTACTTTTTTACACAGGAATATTGACCCGAGTTACTTCTACAACGACTTCGGCGCTGCTGGAAGTGCAGCCCCTTTACCCTTGCGGCGGGCGGGGGCTGCTCTCCCTCCGCGCCTACGGCTTTACAAAAAACACTCCAGGAGTAGGGCAGACAAGACTACATGGAGTCGGAGCGTGCTGGTTTAATTTTAGTACAGATTCGATCAGATCAGATATCTTATCTATAAAGTCAGGTTGCCATCGCTCCCACACCCGCACAACCTTCTAACCTATTACAACTGAAATTATTTCTGGGTGTTCAAGTATTTCTGGGCAGTTTTAAACAATTCAGAAATAAAACAGTATATTATAATCATTTCTTTATTGTCTGTAAACATATTGTTTTTTATTAATTCCTCAAAATGATCTCTTTTGTTCCTTATAATTTCTCTTCTCCATAAATATCCATATAAAAATAAAAATTTTCTCTATTATTATAGTTGTTTTTAGCGAAATATCTCTTGACAGAGAGTATAGACAGTAGAATAATATGACACTAGTCTTACGTCCTTGTCGCACTTACAGAAAATTCTGTATGCTATCCAGCTTTCACAGTAATTTTTCCATGTTTTACGCATTTTAGGTTATAATAGTTTTTATTTATTTTTTCGATAACGGTGCATTACCTTTTAATGTGAATGGTATTATTATAATCGGCGATCAAATCCCTACCAAATAAAACACCTTACTCCGCCAAATTCGTGCCAAACGATTCTAAATCCAACCCATTTTATTTAACATAAGTGGAACCACGCTGCAGCTATATTATGGTTGAAGCACAAATGGGTTAGCTCAATCAGGGTAGGAACACACTCTCACAGAATACCAACGTAAAATAGCAGCTCAATGGTGCTGTGCTTCATATGGTAAGTGTAGAGAACTGGATACCCTTTTTACTGGAAATGAGGCATTCCATTTTTTCACAAAATTTTTTGACGTTGCCTTGTAAAAAGAGGAAAATTTACAGTCTGCTTGTAAAGAACAAAACCATAAATTTAAAAAAATCTATTAGTTGGAATTTTTCCGTTTTGATGGCAACTTATAAAATGTAGAAAATAAGATTCTATCTTAGGTTAGTTTTGAGAAGGTCGAAATTTTTTTTATTATTATTGACTTTAATAAAACAAGTATTTTAATTAATACTAAAATGTAGCAAATCTTAAAATAAAGATCTAAATTGGAGTGGAGATCCAAAATAACGAAACAAGAAATAAATTGTAGGTATACATTTATAAAACGTCTTATAAATAATATAAAACATACGAATTTTACTTCCAAGAAAATGTTCTTTCTAAATTTATTTATATACAATATTAAAAACTATAATAATAATAAAAAAAAAACTAAAACTAGAAACTTAATTATCATATAGTCCTACTCCCCGCAGTATCGTGCCAAGAACGCTGGCTGTGTTTCCCCGCTGAATGGCTATACTTAGCCTTTGAGCGAGAAAAGAACCAGCCCTCTTATCACCAGCAGCAACGACCCTGAGATTTATATTTACATTATAAATGCAAACATGAATAAAAATATAGATATTTTAGAATTTTATTTTTTGTGAATCGATACATCAGCTTATAATTCGAATCGATTTAAAAATCGAACTTTTTCGAAAAGAATCAACATCCCTACTGATGATGACAATGATGATACAAAATAGCGTCAGTTTTATGGGAATTGACATAAATATTGCAATAATAATTGATTTTCAATAATTTTTTTCACATAAGGTATGCGTCTCCTAATGTCTGCTTATAATAATGCAACCTTTTTGCAAAAAACATATCAACCACCAACTTGATGGACATCAATGGAGATTGGCATAAATATTGCAAAAATAATTTATTTTCAACAATTTTTTTCTCTTAAAGTATGTGCTTCTGCATGTTGAAACTTTGCGTGTGTGCTTATAATAATGTAACCTTTCTGTAAAAAATATCAACCTCCAACTGGACGGACGTCAATCGAAAGCCAAGCCCCAAATTTTATAGGTAAAGTAGCTTGAGTCCAGGCTGTTGTATTTAAAGTTAAATTTAGTAAGTTTTAAAGTTAAAGTTAAATTTAAGTAAGCCACAGTCGAGCGTGTGCCTGCTGTACTACCATATGTCAGAGGTGTCACAGACAAGATTGGCTACACCTTGAAGCGAGCTTCTATTAGAACATTCTTCAAGCCGCCGAAGAAGATTAGTCAGTTCTTACCATCCGTCAAGTGCAATATTCCTCTACAAGCAGGAGTATACAAGCTTGATTGTGAGTGTGGTCTCTCATATATAGGGCAAACAAAACGATCAATAAAAACCCGCGTAAAAGAACACATAGCTGACGTGAAGCACCAACGTTCGGGGAAGTCTGCAGTTTGTGATCATATCCTAGACGGCCCCCGTCATTACATTAGATTTGATAAACCACAAGTCCTCGCGAAAGAACATCGATTCCTGCCAAGGATGATACGTGAGGCTATTGAAATTAAAAAACATCCTAATTTCAATAGAGAGGGAGGCTGGGTACTACCACCTGCTTGGGATCCTGTAATTCATAAAATTAAAACTAAACCCAAGCATACCACTGTAAGACTTCAAGACACAGTTAGTTCATTCTGCGTAGATCGGACCAAAATTAATAATTAAAAAGCTGAAGGTACTCCGGGTTAACTTTGACATCGGGACGTCAATCACCTCAGTCGCCCGTGACCACGGTTGCTGGAAAGCAACCGAAACGTCGGGAATATAAAATAAGTAAATTAAACGCGATAAAATCCGTAAAAATAGTTTTATTCAATGTGTAGTGTTCGCGTAAATATAAGAAATCATTAAATTTAGAATTTTTTCTACAGCTATTTTAAGATTATTATCAATATCTTTTAAAATATCTGAACATTTCCAGACTGGACTGTAGCAAAGTAAGTATGTAAATCTTGGTACAAGGAGACAATATTTTAAAATAGTAAAGAGCTATGTGGGGGTTTTATTTATACAATTTATCAAAGTGATTTAAAAACTGATCAAATTTTGTTTTTAAAACAGATTTAATTAGTTAGTAGTATTCTATAGTTAGAAAAACGACAGGGCACCTAGCAGGTATAGTGATTCCGTACTGACAGTTTTTATTGCAGGAGAAACATGATTGAAATTTTGAATTAAACTGTCTATGAGAAGTAGATAAATTATTGGAAAAATATATTTCACATTAATTGCTATTTGGTTCGACCAATATTTTTAAAATTTTGAAAAATTTGAGTAAGATCACTGAGGACATCATTTGCTCTATCTCCCAGTGTACCGTCATTATGAAATTATGTCTTTACCTAGCTTGAATATTTTATTACATGGATCTTAGCTGCTTGATTTTTTTACATCGTCAATATAATGGATTTCCACAAAGTAACACCTGATTCTATTAATTATCACAAGTAGTATATCAGAAAAGATTTATGTGCACCATATGAAAGCATAAACAAATTTATATACGAATTATTAGCAATACGTATTTCATCTTTTCTTATAGTCTGGTTTAGTTTATCGTCAAGTTGATCACTTACCTGGTCAGGCTGGCAAGTAATTACAGTAGGTTTTAAATTGACGGGTAAAGCACATTTCCACCGGGCTGGGCTGTATAATAATTGTCGACACGAATGCTGTAATAAAAAGAAACATTGATAAATCACCTAACCTTAACGTCTATGAAATAAGTTAAAGGATATTACTCATGTACCATTGCAGTTTGTTATCGAAGAAAACTGAAAAAAATTTATTTGAAATTTATTGATTAAATTCAGTTACACAACCGAACTCTCGGTTTTTTTAAATATAAAATATAAATTATATTGTACAATTGACATTAAATCATTTTCCTCGCATTTTCTTCGACCTTAGCAAAATCAATCAAATATTTGTCGATGGTACCTGCCTGTCATCTGTCAGTGTCAGTGTCATAGATGTTGTTAGAGGTGGGCGAAGCAAGCCGTACACTGATACGAAATCTTTAAATTGGTACAATATCTAAAAGACGCTTAATGGCTCGTTCGAAAACTATGTATTACAAAATCTGATATTTGCGTACCGCCGCGATGCCTATTTCTCTTCGCAACGGTCGGTGGCTAGATTCACCGTGTGCGACAGAGCGCGAGCGATATATGCATTAAAGTTTAATTTATGTTGCCTAATAATGATGTCGGTATATCGAAGTGCTGAAATGTTTGTATAGTAGAACTACGATAGTTATCCGAGTACAAAACCAGAGTACGAAACCTATCCAACTGCAGAGAAGTGTAAGACATGATGATGTTTTATCCCCGAAACTCTTCACCGCTGCAATGGAAGACGTTTTCTAGCTTCTGGACTGGAAGGGATACGGTATTAACATCAATGGCGAGTACATCACTCACCTTCGATTTGCCGATCTAGTCCTTATGGCAGAATCGCTGGAGGACCTAAGCACCATGCTCAATGACCTCAATAGTGTCTCCCAACGAATAGATCTTAGGATGAACATGGACAAAACAAAGATCATGATTAATGTCCATGTCACACCTATGCAGGTATATGTTGGGAGCACAAAGCTCGAAGTTGTTGACGAATATGTTTACCTGGGACAAATAGTCCGACTAGGTAAGTCTAACTTCAACCAAGAGGTCAATCGACAGATTCAACTCGGCTGGGCAGCGTTCGGGAAATTACGAAACATCTTCATGTCAGACATACCTCAAAACCTTAAAACGAAATTGTACAACCAGTGCGTGTTGCCAGTGATGACTTACGGAACTGAGACGTGGTCCTTCACTGCTGGCCGTATGAGGAAGCTTAAGGTCTAAGGAGAGGGCTATGCTCGGGGTTTCTCTGCGTAATAAACTTAGAAATGAGTATATCCGCAGTAGAACCAGAGTAAACGACATACCCCAACGGATTAGTAAGCTAAAGTGGCAGTAGGCCGGCCATATAGCTCGAAGAACCGACAACCGATGAGGAAGAAAGGTTCTTGAGTGGCAGCCTCGTACCGGTAAGCGAAGTGTAGGGCGACCCCCCACGAGATAAAGTGAGGACCTGGTAACACATGCCGACATGGAAGTCAATGGATGCTGGTGGCTCAGGACCGTGCTTTGTGGTATTCCTTAGGGGAGGCCTACGTTCAGCAGTGGACTTATGAAAGGCTGTAATGATCATGATGATGATGATGAATACTGATACATTTTAAATGTTACTGGTTTTTAAAGCCTAAAATCGATTGCATATTATACTATTTTATTTAGCATTTTCAATTTATTTTAAGATCTGACCGAATAAATGTAGTGGAAGGAGAAAGTTGGACTTTTTATTATTTTAAATACATTTTGTGTTATAAGTAAATAATAAAGACACTGTAAATATCTACTATTTTAATTGAACTATTTATAACTATTTATTCAATATCATAAAATGAAAATTATTTCCAAAAAAGATTAACCAACTTCAATGGAACTTTATGAAGATTAAGTTAGTAAAATATAGTCAAAATTGGTTCATTGGTTTTTGTAGAATTCAGTAAATCGCAAAAATATATATGTAATATGTACATACATACAGATCGAATACAGACATTCCCTTTTTTGTAGTTGAACGAAGTCGCGGGAATCAGCTATTTAATTTATTAACATCGATATATATGAAGATAAAGCAAATTGTACTAAATTGAATGAACCAAAACCGAGTTCAAAACTTTAAAAGAAGAAAGTTAAAACTGCGATTAAATAGGTGCATTAGCTCCAAAAATTAACATAATAAACATTTATTATACATTTTTTTCTTTTAATGTGTTCCCTAATAACGATGTTTCTAAATTATCCTTAAAAGTTTTCAACTACTATGGGTAGTATTATACAAGACGGCACTAAACATAAGTTTAAATTTTTGACTTTATTTAACTGTTAAGTTTGAGCACCTGTGGTGAAAAAAAAAACGTACAGGATCTGTGTTTGCCACCATCACAAAAATTCTAAAACGTCAGCATACCATGTACTTAATGTCATTACTTACTGAGCCATAGCCGTTAATGTGTAAAAGTTGGCATTTCATTAAAAAATTACAAAATTATTGGCAGATAGTTCTTTTTTAACATTGCATGTATTTATTAGGTAAGTACATTTGTCGCCCTTGAAAATTTTACTTTACACGTGCTCGCCTTGTTTATCTATATTATATTATACGTATAATATATTTATCTATATTATACGTATCTTTGCATGATATATGAATATATATATACAATGTTGATTCGCATCGAATAGGTAAGAGTAACTACAAAATCTTCGTATCGGATTTCAACAGCATATCGGCGTAGAAAATATAAAAGCGTAAGTAGGATATCTAGATATTGAAATATACAGTTTTGGTATCAGATACTAAGATTCAAAATCCGATATAGATGCGATTCTCAGAAAATGCGATACGACACAGGCCTAGTAATTAAGTAATTAAGGCAGGCAAATATCTTGGACCATACAGCCTAATCTGATTTACCTACTCATGAAATTCTTCACAATATCCTGATAAAGATTTTGACAACAGCTCACATGAGCAGAGAGTTGATGACAATAATATCTGAATGTTCATATGAGGATAAAAAAACCTAAGCTATTGGAATCAAAGTTCCTGATGATGCTTCGTCAAGCGGCGAAAGATGTCGTTTTATCGACAGTGTTGTAATACCTCCTAGTGTAGAGGTAAGTGAGGTTTCTTGTGTAGTGGGGTTGGATTTAGTGAAGGCATCACGCTATAATCAGGAGTGCTACCGGGCCTGTGCTGACGCATCAACGTCCCGGTATATAAACACCAGCGCTTTTAAAAAGAAGTATAATTTCGCCTCCAGGGTCCTTCAAAAGTGTTATTGCCAAGACGAAGTCAGAACACATCGGCAGGATTGGCGAAAAACTAGTTCGCCTTCGTTCGGGAACAAGTGTATTTTCGTTTCTCGCCAAGGCTGTCCAAGGGAACTTCTGTCAGCCATCTCTGCCATCTCGGCACAGGGTGGACGACTCACTGGCCCATGCCGCAAAGAAGAAGGATAATGAGCTCTCTCTTTGCTTCCAACTCGACTCTCGATGACGGAGGAACACACCGCCGTGATGGACCATCCAGCTGTGTGAGTGCTCCATGCAGGAAGTGCTGTTTATACAACACTCGGGGCGCAAAACACTCCTCTCCCTGGACGTCAACAAGTCGTGTGGGCCTGATGGAGTCCCACATATTATACTGAAGATGTGTGCACCGGAGTTCGCACCGGTTTTAACGCGTCTTTTCCGGTACTCCTACTATCTAGACGTAGTCCCAAATTCACGGAAGACAGCTTTGGTCCACCCGATCTCTAAAAAAGCCGACCGCTCAGATCTGTCCAACTGCAGGCCTATCGCCATTACCTCCTTGTTCTCCAAAATAATGGAATCCATTATAAACTGCCAGCTCATGCGGTACCTTGAGGATCACCAGCTGGTTAGTGACCGCCAGTACGGTTTCCATCGAAGTCGCTCAGCTGGCGATCTTCTAGGTTACCTAATTCATAGATGAGCGGAGGCAGTGGAGTCCAAGGTTAATTTGGACATAGCGAAAGCCTTCAATCGGGTTTGGCACAAAGCGCTTCTTTCGAAGCTTCCTTACTATGGGCTTCCCGAGAAATTGTGCAATCGGATCACCAGTTTTCTTGCAGATCGGAGCATCAAGGTTGTAGTAAACGGTGCATGCTCCGATTACAAGCCCATTAACGCTGGTGTTCCACAAGGCTGCATACTGTCACCAAGGCTGTTTCTTCTGCATATCAATGATATGTTGCAAACTGGTAACATTCATTGCTATGCAGACGACAGCACTGGTGATGCTTTATACACCGGCCGTGCCAATATTTCTCGGGATAACGTCGCCGAGTACCGGAACAAACTTGTGTCTGAAGTCGAGACTTTGTTGAACAAAGTCTCGGACTGGGGGCGACTGAATCTAGTCCAGTTCAATCTCCAGAGGACAGAAGTTTGCGCGTTTACCGCTATAAGGAACCCTTTTGTCGTACCTCTTCAGTTTCAAGGCACTCCCCTTGTAGCCTCAGCCAGTATCGGGATCCTTGGAGTCTACTTATCGAGTAATGTGCAGTTTCGTGGTGACTTGGAAGAGAAGGCCAAATTGACTACTAAAAAGCTTGGCGTGCTGTATTTCATGCCCGCACACCGCTTGCTACTTTACAAGGCGCAAGTTTGGCCCCACATGGAATACTGTTCCCATTTCTAGGCAGAGACTCCCTAGTGGCAGCTACTTCCACTTGATGAACGAGTTCTTTCCGATCGGCTTGACTCACTGGCATGTTGCATCTCTTTGCGTATTTTATCGCATCTACCACGGGGAGTGCTGTGAGGAATTGTTGGGACTTATTCCAGCCACTCAACTTTACCCTCGCACATCGCGAAAAACCTCGCGATACCATCCATACCATCTGGAAGATTGGCGGTCTACCATGGTGCAATTTAGAAGAAATTTTCTTTCTCGCCCAACTTCCTTGTGGAATCGCTTACCACCAGCGATTTTCCGGACCGATGCGATTTAGGGACCTTCAAGAAAAGAGCCTAATCCTTTTTAGAAGGCCGGGTACGCATTAGCAATTCCCCTTGCAGTTGTTCATGGACGGTGGTAAGTGACTAACTTACCATCAGGTTGCCTCCTCGTCTATAAAAAAATCTCAACTCGGCACTACTACAACGATTGTACTAGTAGTTTACACCGCACACATTTTATGCACGAAATCGATTTCACTTCTTATTTCTTCACTTTAAGGCCCGCCATATACATACGGAATTCCGTTTCGATATTCCGATTCGGAATCCCGAACGCAGCAAGTCCATATAAAATCTATGACCCGCCACACACGTATGGT